ACTTATAGCTGAAATATCCCTTTGCTTTACAGGTTTACTTAAACGTAAGATAAATATATGTCTACCGTTGATTACGCTCTGAACATCATAAGATTTGTGCTAGGACATAGCTAAGGGAAATGCAATAAACTAATAATAATATTTGTCACTACTGCGACTTATTACTGTAGCCAAGTCTCTATGAAATGGATAGGTGGCATAAACGGCGAACGAGTTTCATAAGCAGAATTTAAAAAAAATTTTCATGACCTTCCTCATCGATGAGAGGGCAATGCCTCGTTTGTGCATAGCATCAGTGTTCGCATTTCAGGTTCACAATGGAGAAACCTAATCTACATTCCCTCGCATTCTTTCTATCAAATAGAAGTCTGGGATATGTTCGTACTAGAGAAGTTGAAGTAGCAATCGGAAGAACACATTACGAGAAGAACCAACCATGACTGGATCAAAGGGGCTATAAACTGTGTTCCAAGAGACAGTAGACGGCTCACGGATAGATCATTGGATTAATGTTGTGATGAGCAGAAAAACTTCATTCGAGTAAGCTGGATAAGAATCATAAAAGATAGAAATTTACAGAAAATTCTTAAAGGGGCGTTTGTCTTGTGCTGGTCCCTGAAGGTCTGAACAGGGTGGCTTTCTTTCTAATATCAGTACTTATTACACGAATGAGCAGCCACCAAATTTTGTTACACTCTTATAGATCATTACCTTCGTTAGCATTTCAAAGATTTACAGCTGTCATTACGTAACTTTGGCACCGTTTTGCTGCGTTAGGCCCAATGAGTAACAGTGACCCTTGATGCCGACAGTCAGGCAACGGGAGTCTTTGCGGATAATACCGTGGGAGATGAGGAAATGACTCATCTCCTGATTATTTGTTTTCCAGTTAGATTTGTGACAAATTACACTGAGTAAATAATGATCTACTTCCACACTTCGCTTGTTCATATCTCTTCTTATATGGTGCACTGTTTATTACTCATAATGTAGGTCAGAACATCGGCTACCATACGAAAATATCATTGTTAATTATTGTGGAGCAAATTAGAGCAAAACTCATTACAGTTAGGTTTTAATACACAGGATCCAATGAGATTCTATTTCACGAATATAATAAACATATCCGATTGATTTTCATGTTCCCATTCTGATTATCTCTAATCAGCTTAATGTTGCTAGAAAATCTTCTGAACTACCACTGTTCTACATTAACATGATTGCATTAAAGAAGTATCATCTTAATAATTAAGGTCACTATCATCATTCGGACCGGCTGGTAATCAGTGACGAATCGCGCCGCTTGTACCAAGTCCTCCATTCTTCGTGGTTTCGAGCTACGTCCCTCCAAGCGCGGTATTTCCGGCTCCTGATATAGTGTTCCCTCCGTCGTGATGGGTCTCCAAACAGCGTAGTCCACGTCGGAAGATACCAGTCGATGATTATCACCGACCATCCCCCAGCGGCGAGCCCGGTTACGCGTCTGATCCCTAGTAGCTTCAGCCTTCTACTTTCGACGACAACTTCCTTCAGTAGTGTCCGCTGTCTGTCGACCGTGTTGGGCACGTGGTTGCGATGGGAGATTCCCAACATTCAACATTCTTGTTTTCATGGCTCTCTTGGTGACAGATAGCAGTCAGCTTTTATAAATGGAAACGGCTCACAGCCATACAACGTTGCCGTTGCGGCAGCACCGTAGAACTGAGGCTGAGTGCGCGAGTTTCCATTCTGATGTTGCCGAGGAGGACGTTGTTGAGGAAGTGGAACGCGCGCTAAAAGGCCCTCTTGTTTCGTTGAACCGTACAGCCTGATCATGCCACATGTTAATCTCATGGCCTAGCTAAATGTATTTATCAACTTCTTCGATCCTTTCACTGTTTAATATTACAGGGCATCTGATCATCGTATCTTCTTTTTGACCGATTTATTCGCAGTCCGACTTGTACACTGTTTCTCTCGAGCTCTTGCAACGTGTTCCTAGCTGACTGACGTTTTCCGCAGGCAACGCTCTGTCATCATTGCACCTTAGGTTGCTGAGCTGTCCACCGTTGATGCTAATCCCACATTTCGAGTTCATTCTCCAGAATACCATTTAAAAACAGGCAGTGAAGAATTTCCGGGAAATGGTGTACCCTTTTTCACACCCTTCTTTGCAGGAATTCGATGGGGGCGTCTTGGGGTCAGCTTGATTTCTGTGAAACAGTGGGAGTTCGCTTCTTTTATTGGGATGATGCTAAAGTCGAGCCTCATTTTTTGCCGCGGCAGACCCAAAGAGTCATGTTCGACATTGTCAAACTCTTTTCTCTAGTCAACAAAGCCTAGGCACAGAGGTAATTAGAATTACCTTGCGCGCTCAAGGAGTTGCCTTACGGTGAGGAGACCATCGGTTGTTCTCCAGGCCCTTCAGAACTGTCTGTTCTTTTGGCTGCTGTTCGTCCAGATTTGGTGACAGCCTGTTGGTGACGATAACAGTTCTTCAGATCTTCCTTCTTGCCCGTTTTGAAAAACACCGTTGTTTTTGACTCCATATAGATTGACGATATTTTTCCTTTTTCAGGTAGTAACTGAGTCTGCGCAAATGAGCCCTCTACAGCGTTTCAAACCAGTTCCTGCTCCAGTTGTTGACAGAATTCTTCCACACCATCCTCGTTCGTTATATTTGTAGGAACATAGGATTGGATGATCTTCAAGGTCCATTTCATGTTCATTTAGCACAGAACGCACAGTCACCTGACATTACAAGAGCCGACTTTTAGGGACCAGCTTTTGCTGACTGCAAATCTGATTCCTCCTATGCGTTTCGTGTTCTCTCTTTTTCCAAGCCAAATCGAACTACCGTCTTTCCTGACGCCATTCACCTCCTTCCGCCATCGTGCCTCGCAGAGGTCTAAGTTATTGCAGGTTATACGTTACCTTTCCTCCGTTAGTTTGTTTGGCGATTCTTCCACGGCCGGTGTTCTACAGTTGTAGGCGCAAACTGCGAATGAAGTTAGGGTTCATTGCCAGATACCGGCCTTTCTTACCAGATACCGGATTATTAATCGCCTGTCGTCAGTTCACACCTGAATCGCAACCGTGGAATGGACTGAGAGACTCCCAGTGTACTAAGGCCAGTATATTCGTGTTGGAGTGCTGCCAGTGGCCTGGAGAATTTCGCCCAGACGGGTCTCCCAATTCTGTTCGATTTTTTATCGAAGTTTTCTTTTCTAACCTTTGCCATCTACCGTCTAACCGCAAGGTAGCAGTAAGTTTTCCCACTCTCTTTTTCAAAAGTGCGGGTCGTTTTCGCCTCGACTTGAAACTGTCACTGGGCACTGCGACTTCTTCTCTGAGGATCGAAATTATTGAGCTCGAAGTGTGCCACAGACAGGTGGTCTCATCGCTTTCTGTACATGACTGTTTATTTGTCGCAGCTAGCCCTCATATCTGAAAGTCGTTTCCTCATCTGCAACCGGGGGTCGCGTTAGAAGGCCAACAGCATGACACAGGAATGACAGTTATTATTTAGATAATGCCTAATTAAGTTTTGTGACTAAATGGCAATTAAAGTGGTTCAGAATTTAGAGCCAACTATGGTGTATGCCTTTTTTGATGGGAAAATGGCAAATGCGCGGTAGGGTCTTCCACCCTGGTGATGACGGATACTGTGTGAACTGGATTGGAGTTACGCATTTCTAAGATGCTCCATTTCAAATGCCCAAGAACAATTTTGCTTAATGATGGCGACAGTAATCCTGAAATGAATCAGCGGACGCACTGAACTTGCATCAGCATTCGGAATTTAAACGTCAAAATGCTCCCAGTAGCGCTGTCTGTCCTCACTTCCTCAATATCCTCAGTTGTGTCATGAAATTACGAAGGTGCAGGTGCTGATGACTATCATTTAAAAAAATAACGAGAACAACTCAGAGACCGACCCTTCGTATGGTTGATAAAACGGCCCAGAACGAGAATAGAGCATGTTCAGAACCTTTCACGCATTGGAGCCCTCCACTTGCCGCCCTCACGTTGGAGGACAATACAAAATCTGGAAACACATCACTGAGGCGAACTTGCTTGCGATGGGTGTATAGCCTTTGCTACAGAACGGAACGTTGCGTAATACGAATCTGGAGTAAGACGTCATAAACCAAGGTGACGGTGCCATCTAAGTCATGCTGCCCTTAGATCATGATGGTAAAGGAATAGCAAGGTGCTTCAACTACAAAGAATGAGTTTCATGCATTCTATTCTCATCAACCATTTTGTAACACATGATCACTTGCTGTTGAATCGGTTTCTCAACATCAGTGCGTTAAGCGAAAAGTTTGTTTTTCACTGCAACCTCATTGACATTTGCAATATCCGTGCCTCATTCAGAGAGTCTAGCTGGCCTACGGAGTCGTACAGACTTGAATGTAATTTTACAATTCGCGCATTCCCTGAGAAACGGTGGGACGGAATGGAGGAATGCATTTCCTCATAGACACTGGCCAAATCACAGTCAAAGTACGCAGTCCATTCGTCCCTGAAGTTCATGCTTTGCCCGTGGTTGGCTGTTGCATGCCAATCAGCGCGTGACATAGCCCGAAACACTGTCGTACGCTTTGTGGTCATTTCTGATTGTCATTTACAGCATGTGACACCACAGCTGCGATGTCGTAATTGACAAATCAATGGTGCACAGACAGAGAGACGGGCTGACAGACATTGGCCGCGTAATTATTCAGACGAAGTAATTAAGTTAAGGACGTTACGCGTTTTTGATTGACCACCGGTGGTCAGTGGCGATGTACCAGCGGTGGGGTTGTGGGCAGTTTGCTACCGCCATTCAGTAACGCGTCATTATACAAAGCTGTCTGTCACGTGTGCTCGCCTCGTCGTGAGTGTTGGAAATCCTCGAATCGCTGTCACTCATCTTCGCCTAATGCCGGGTGTGCGTTGTTAATTGCCAAAGTTTAAGCCGCACGTTAAGCTGCCTCGTTCTTTGGCCGTATCGAGGTTGAGTGGCCTCGTCATCAATGAGCAGGCATTCAAGACGACTCGTCACCGTGCATCGGCATCGAAGCCTCGGATTGATCCGCAGCGGACGACACACGTCCTCAATGACAATTGACATAAATCGCCGAAAGCGGGCCAGATTAGCCGATAGCCGCCGATTACCTCTGTGGCTCGAACTCTCGCCTCTGCGAAGCCGCTTTTGTGCTGTGAAGTGCCCGTGGCCTTGGGCCGAATTTCAAGCACCTCGTCTGTTCCTCTTTCGCCTTTCACGCCTCAACCGTCATCCGTTGTGTTGTTTCTCCCCCCTCTCCGTCTCCCTCGTTTCCTTCGTCGAACTGACGGCGGCGAACACCAGACCGGGCAAAACAAACCGACCGTCTGTCTGTCCGTTCGCCGGTTCTGCCGCCGTTCTGACGCGTCTCGCAACGTGGTCCCTGATCGCGACTGTTTGATAATATTGAACGATGTGGCGACGGCGGCGTCTCAAAAACTGGCACAAGTGTTCGGCCATTCGTCTTGCTGCTTTGCTCGTTTTATTCCCTCAACGACCACCGACGATCGGCCGTTTTTCCCGGTGGCATAACGCAAGCCGGGGCTACCACAGCCACGACGACCACCGAGCCTTGGACACGAACCCGAGGTTTTGTTTTTGACACTTTTGCTGACTTTCCGTCGTCGACGGTCAGACCGTCTGACGCCGATTTGTCACGGGCAATAATTTTTTCTTCAATTTTGTCCATCGATGTTAATATCCAAGTGTCAGTGATTGATTTGCTAAATGCTTGAGTTTCATAATGCTGTTTTAGTTACAACGTCACTGCTCCTTGATTTCTCAGCCTAATGCTATGGAGCTTAACCAAGCAGTGTTGGCTGATCGGTGCACCAAGCCACATGGCAAGGTTACTACTGGAGGAGGTTTCGGTTCCTCCCAGGGCGCGGTCCACAGAGGCATTAAATATTGCTGGTAGAGTCCCACCTTTAATTGTGTATGTGCAGACCAAAGATGGACCACAGGATAACATGGACGGAGCACCTAAACTTGAATGTCGAACGGTGCAACGGCATAGTCGCCAGAGTCTTAATACCGACCTACACATTTGATAATAATTATTCTGTTTACAACAAGGCAGGAAGCCAATGCGCCATCAATCGACAAAATGGGCTACTCAGAGTCAGCTTCCTGCATGATAATGTAAACCTTCAACTATGTCAATGAAATGTCGCTTTTCCACCCATCTCTTGGGCGTTGTAAGCATTCACATGCGTTTGTCCCCCTCCTGCTAAACTTCTAAGCGGTTATAGACTTCATACTGTTATTATTGCATCAGAGTTCCAACACGTAGCAAAGCTGTTACTGAACGAAGGCCAACATGTGACGAATAATTGAAGTACAAGACGTGTAGAAACTTAGGCACTGGAACGAAGCGATTTCATGCAGCACGCACCTGTATAAATCGGTAGACCGATAGTGTTCCAATATGATCATCATAATCATCATTAGCTTTTGTCGATCTACTACCGAATATTGTCTAAAAGACTTTGCCATTAATTTAGGTTAATTGCCATTTTCATCCATCCTGCCAACGACCTGCAGGTCTGCATACGGCGCCATTATTTGCTCTTGGAACTCAGTTTAACATCTCTCTGGTTCGGCGACGGTCGGTTCTTCTTGAGACTTGTCAAATCCATAGCTCCTTTAACTTCTTCGCACAGGCAGTGACACTGCAGGCCCCATTTTCCTCTTACTCATTCATTTGTTATCGTTTCTTCAGGTTCGCAACAGACACATTGCCGTGCTGTGTTGCGTAGTCTGCAGTTTTCGAATGGCCTTCAGGTTCAGGTTCCGAATTTTGCACCCGTAGGTTAGAACTGGGTGTACATAATAATTGAATGCTTTCCGTCTGAAGCACAAGGGCTGATTCTCAGATAAGATCATTTTCAGTCTTCCATGAGTGGTCCATGTCATTTTCATTCTTCTGTTCGTTTCACATAGTCGTTTCTCCAGTGCACTGGTGAGCTGTCCATAGACGTTGTTTTGCACTACTACAAGAATAAGTCCGTGGACCTCAACAGGTCGTGCGGTCACGTATTTGTTGAACACGCCCTGAATTTTCTGCAGGTTTATTTTCACTTTATTTTCGAATTCCTGCAGCTGTTGGATTCCTATCTGTAGCTATTATAGGGCCCTTGAGAGAATTAAAATGTTATTCTTACACCGTAGGTGATTTAAGTACTACTATTGTATGTTCAGTCCCTGAGTTACGTGAAGAAGTGTCTTGTAAACCTCATTGAGGATGCTCTGGATTACTTAAGTGATACTGCGTCTCCCTGTTTGGTGCCCTGTTCGATTTTGAACGTTCTTCTACTTTCGTGGAGCTTTACACTAGCAGTTTCATTCCTGCAAATTATGGCGGCAGGTTTCTGTTTTTATTCACTTCCCTGGCTCTTCAAAGAATCCAGCACAGATCGCATGCAGCTGTGTCGAAAGCCTTCTCGAAATCGACGAACGGGTCCCAGGAAGAAAGGAAACTCACATGCTTTTCTGAACTAATTATTGTACCCCCTGGAGATTATCCGCCATTCAAGATCCAGTCTTGAATCCTGGTTGCTCATTTGACTGTGTCGCGTCCAGTTGTTCATGAAGTCTGTTCGTCAGCACCAACTTAAATGATTGGTGACAAATCTTTTGGCCCTGTAGTTCTTCAAATTCTCTCACTTTTGTAGAGTAGAATCATCGATGCGGTAGTCCAATCGCCTGGAATTTTCATTTCTTTCAAACTGCCTGGCAACAGACTTGCGAATATCTTCTTCAGCGCTTCACCACCTAATTCCTCGAGTTCCACTGTACTGCCGTCTTCGTCAAGAGCCCTCGCTCAATTCGACTGTTTTATTACGTATCGCATTTCTTCTGGCAAGATATCTGAATTTTCGTCGACGTCATTTGTGTCTTCATGCTTTTATCGTCACACCTCATATCTTCTATTGAAATCTTTTACTCAGTTCAGAATCTCCTGTCGGTCCATGATGGAAAACTGGCGTTTTGCATTGAGTGTCAAAATTTGTCGCTTCCCAACCCTCGTTCTCTAATTTCACTTTTTCATCCTTCCGATTTGAGTAGTTTTATGTACAAATCTGCAGCTGGATGCCTAGGCGTCTCCTTTTATGTGATTACTTAGAGGTTGCAAGGTTCCACGTGCTCGATTTTTTAGTTCTGTTTTTTCTGTTTTAATTTGTCTTCGTTTCTTCCCGTGTTCTTTCGTTTGCTTCGTGATTTTTTGGTCGATGCATATAATCCTTGTTTCAGAGATGTTTTCCGCCGTTTATATCCTGATGCATTACGCTAATGTCTGCTGCTTCTCCTGGTTCTTCTGGCATTCCGTCAAGGACGTCGACGACGTTCAGTCCGTTATGTAATTTGAGTTGGAACAACGGGACGTTGTTCTTTGGTGTTTCCAAAAATTTAGTGTGTGTCTTACGTCTCCTCATGAGCGATGTCCTTCTCACTAATGTTGAGTGCAGACACACGGGGCATCTGACCAGCCTGTGATAGCTTCCTTTTTGAAACTTGTTCAGCATCGCGATGTCACGTACCTCTTACTGTGGTCTTCGTCTTACTGTGGGTCTTTCCATGTCCATCTTTTGCTTGGTTTCTTCTGAATAAATGTGTTCATAATTTTTCAGCCGTTTCGGTCGTTGTTTTCACCATAATCAAATCGGTCCACAGGGCATTCGTTGGATTGCTGCAGTCCGACCTTGGCGTTAAAATCACCAATGATGAACTTACGTGGCTCATGTCATGTTTATGCGCTTCTTTTTCCTCGTAAGCATGTACCATCTGTTCATCAGAATGGCTTGATGTCGGCGCGGCACACATACTTTGATCACTTGGAGTTCTTATCTCATTGAAACTCCCAGAACCGGTCTTACGCACTTTTCTGAAGTGCTGTCCACTTCTACTGCATCATTTCCAACCTTTTGCGAAAATGAGTTCTACGTTCCTTGTGCTTCCATTTGCCGATTTTCTGTAGAATAAGAGATGTAAACTTTTAAGTTCATATCGACCATCCTCCTTTTTTCCAACCTCGCTGAGTTCTACAATCTTCTGCTTGATTATCCTAGGTTCATCTTATAGCCCTTGAAGCCGTGCTTCACTTAGCAGTGATCTAAAATGCCAGACTTCGTAAGTAATACAAGCTTCTATCCTTAAACAGGGTGTTCTTACTTTCTCTTGCCTTCATTCCTGATCAGATGCTACCTTCGCCTCGATAATCCATCCTCTCGGGAATGAGGAACGTGGTTTTAATTACGATTTAATCTTTCTGAATTTGACCATAGCTTACCATGCTACCTAGACCGGCTGGTGAATGTTGTTTCGTCCACTTGGCCGGGTATATTTCTCAAATATTTGTAGCATGTTTGAACCTGCCAGAGCTTAAAGGCTCAGCTGTATATCGTCATGAGAACCCTTCGGCACTATCCTGCCACTTTGACGCAATGGATGTAGGACGTAGGAGAGTTATTAGAAATATGATTATGATAAACTGTCAAGAAGTTCACGTGGTAGTTATGACAACTTATTGGTCTACGATTAAATATACTAACTATTATGAGTCTGAGTAGCATTGAATTTGCTGAAACTGTTTCCTTTTGCCTGAGAATCTGCAGGAACAGCTATTCATATGTATTTATGTATATGGCATGGGAGCCGTAACGGTATATAGTCACTGATTATAGCGGCAGTACGGACGGCTTGATCTGTCGTAAATGCTGAAACAACTACCCGATGTTGGCCTTTATCTCCGTCGGCATGGTGATTAGATTTTCGAGAGTCTTGACTAATCCTTCATATCAACTGTTTGTATTGCTCCCAGTGTGATGATGGAAATCACATGAAATGCAAGGCAATTCCTCATATTTGACTTTCTACGCCGAGACTTCGTGTGAGGCTAGTGAGACCATGAATAACTATGAATGTCAAGCGTCGGTAAATTACGTTCATCTTTTTCCCTGCCCTAAGATTTTACGCACTTCGCCTTACCTGATGACAAATGCTGTTTTATAGGCCAATAATGTAACACTTTTCGTTCGTGCTCTAGGAACCTGTTTGTCTGACGAGAACATTTCGTGCG